TTAAAGACAGAGAGATCGAAGGAAAAGTAAGTTTTTTAGAAATGATGCATCCAGCCTGCGAAGAAGAAATTGACTTTGAAATAATAGAGAATACAACATCAGAAAAATTAGAGGAACCACATACAAACAGCATACAAATATTCACCGATGGAAGTAAAATTGAGGGCAAGGTTGGAGCTGCAATCTCTATTTGGAGAAATAAACAAGAAATAGATAATAAAAAATTCAAATTAGATTCATTCTGCACTGTCTTTCAGGCTGAACTGTACGCAATGCATCAAGCTATTCAAAAAGCAAAGAATTACCAAAGTACTTACATATACAGTGATTCAAGATCTGCACTGGAACTTGTCAAAAATCAATCAGCATATCAACCGTTGGCTTTCGAAATTAGGCGAGATATCGCTAAATTAAGAAGTCAAAACAGGAGGATAGGGCTGTATTGGGTTAAAGCACATGTAGGTATTCCCGGAAATGAACGCGCAGATGAACTCGCAAAGGAAGCAGCTTTAAAATTAAAAACAAAATTAAATTACGCAAAATGTCCGATTTCGTTCATAAAGAACCAAATTAGACATAAAACAATTAAGGAATGGCATAAGAGATATTTAACAGAAGAAAAAGCCGAAATTACAAAAGTATTTTTTCCAGACGTAGAAGCAGCATATCGCATCCTAAAACAAATTAATTTAACGCCAATATTAGTACAAGTTTTCACCGGTCATGGAGGCTTTGCAGATTATTTGTTCCGTTTTAAAATAAAATCTAGACCAGACTGTACGTGTGATAACAACCAACCCCAATCTTCTCTGCACATAATTATAGACTGCCCTCAATTCTGCAAAAATAGAGCAGACGTGGAACTGCAGATAGGATTAAAATTGACAAAAGAAAATATACATAACATAATGGAAGACAAACGCGGCAGAAACATTTTCACAAAATATTGTATAACCGTAGCAAATAAAATCATAAAAACTAATAAAAGTACCTAAACAAGAACAAGATAAAATTAATTTAGAATATAGAATAAGATACATCAAACAAAAAGTACAATAAAAAAAAAACCTTGGTAAAAAAGGACAAAAAAAAAAAACAAGAGAGTAAGAAAACTATATAATTAGACATATGAGTACATATGTCCTAATATTATATAAAATAAGTATGCAACATAATAAGAAAAAAGAAAAACAAGAGAATTTAATTAGAAATAGTGTAGAATAGTAAAAAAAAAAAAAAAGAATTAATAAAATAAGAATTAACCACATTTGTAATCGATAAAAAAGGAAAAGTAACAACAAAAATATACTTAAACAAAAAATCAAAGTACCGAAAAGCACCTGATATTGAAAAAACAAAAAACGTAGTTCATAGAACACAGAAAAAAAAGAAAAAAAAAAAGAAGAGAAAGAAAAAAAAGCTATATAAAAATAATGAAAAATTAAAATAAACATAAATATATAAAAAAAAGCAATCAGCTACATAAGGTCTCCGATCAACATGTCGGAGGATAATAGTAAAAAAAAAAAAAAACCTAACCTAACCTAACCTAACCTAACCTAACCTAACCTAACCTAACCTAACCTAACCTAACCTAACCTAACCTAACCTAACCTAACCTAACCTAACCTAACCTAACCTAACCTAACCTAACCTAACCTAACCTAACCTAACCTAACCTAACCTAACCATCAACTACATCTTTGCTTATAACTTTGCTAAAAATAGGTCTTTTTCGTTCAAATCTTTTCTAAATAATAGAACTAATTACTCCTCGTATTCCTCTATAGTTTTCATAGTAAATTTTCACCGCAATATAATTAATTTGCACATTTTCCATCCATTTTATACGTAAATTCACAAATAAAAACATAATTTCATCTATAATTCGGCTGAAAATTGCCCTTTTCCGATTAATTTTTCTATTTAGATAGTATAACTAACTGCCCCCCGTATTTCTATATAGTTTTCTTGGTAAATTCTGAACGTTACATATATAAATTTTCATATTTTCAGTCCCTTATTTACGTAATTTCATTAATAAAAACATCAATTCATCTATAACTTGGCTGAAAATTGGCCTTTTCCGTTCGAATTTTCTTCTAAAATAGTGTAATTAACTGCCCCACGTATTCACATATAGTTTTCTTAGTAAATTTTCGACGATAAATTATTGATTTTCGCATAATTCGTTTTCCAATAGACGTAATTTTATTAAAATTTTAAAATTTTTCAAATCTTTGTTTCTCTCGCACTTTTTACTTCTATTAGGTCCGTCCCGTGTAGAAATAGCCATCTGCACTCAAATCATATAAATAAAACACACCGAATCGGAAAAAATCGCCCTCCCTCCCACCCGGTTTTTCTTACTTAAGTAGACTTGTGGGAATTCTATATCGATTTTATTTATATCGATTTTATTTATTGATTTTTATATATTTTTATTTTTGTTAGTTATGATTTGTAATTTGAAATATATGGAAACTGATAGTGTATTGTAAAGCTATGGCACCTATAGAATCAGATAGTCTTCTGCCAGCCAGTGCTGCCAACGTTAAAGATATAGATTCATACATTGATACTGTAAATAAACTTAGCAACTGTATTTCAAACGCTATTAACGAGGGAAAAAGCGTCACTGCCGTCAACAAAAAATTAGTAGTATTAGCAGCAGAGGAAATACGTAGATGTACCTCTACACTTGCCATCTTGAAGTCAGTAGAAACGCCTGCTCTAGACGAAACATTTAAAAGCGAAATTATAACAAGTGTTCGCAAAGAAATAGAACAATTAAAGACTGAATTAGCACCTTCTGTTTTGCCCGTAAAAGCAACTTATGCTAACGTTGTCGCATCAAAAACATATAAGCCATCGATAATATTACAATCGACAGATCCCAACACTAAGCCACAAGAAGTGCTAAATAAGTGGAGGAAAAGTGTATCCTTCAAGAAGGAAACTTACGCACCAGCTAAGGTACAAACGGGATTTAACGGGAAAGTAAGAATAGAATTTGATACCAAGTCACAGTGTCAAGAAACTATAGCACGCATCAATAAAATAGAAGGATTGCAAGCAGAAGAAAGTAAAAGACGTCCACCATTAGTAATACTTAAGGGCATATCAAAACACATAGAAAAGAACGAGTTAATTGATATAATTGAACACCAAAACTCTCTACCCAAAGGCAACATTCGTCTCTGCTTTGCTACTTCAAATAGAAACGAAAACCTATACAACGCTGTCTTCGAAGTGAAACCGGAATTATACAAGAGTGTTATTCTTATTGGACGCATTGCGATTGACCACCAGCGAGTTCACATAGAGCCGTATTCCCGATTCGTACAGTGCTATAAGTGTTTACTGTTCGGCCACACGAAAAATAAGTGCACTTCAGAAACCAACCGCTGTGCACACTGTGCTTCTGAAGAACATAACATCACTTCTTGTCCCTTTAAGGAAACAGAAAATAAACGGAAGTGTTTCAATTGTCACAACTTTAACATTAAGAGCAATAGCAAAGTCGATACAAATCATATAGCGACAAACGCTAAACTGTGCCTTCGAATTAAAACTCTTAAAAATAAAATTGACGAACAGACTGATTATGGACAATAGACATACTACGCCTTTACCTACCTCTAACGAGCAAAAATCGCATCCAACCAATTCAGAAACACTTAAAATAATTCAAATTAACCTTGACAAAAGTTATGTTAGCCACCATGAATTTATTAATTATTTTATAAACAACGACTATGATATAGGGCTCATATCTGAACCTTACGTAGGCAATCTCAATATCGTTAAAAATATTCAGGGTTATGACATATATCAATTTACAAACAATGAACGTGTAAAAGCATGCATCATAGTCAGGGCGAGCCTTGGTTCAATTTTAGGTATACGCGAATTCTCAACAGCTAACATGTGTGTAGTACAGCTTCTTAATACTAAATATAGGTTATTCCTCGTCAGCGTTTACGTAGAACCTACTAATGATATAAACAACACACTTAATCACTTGGAACTTTTTCTTAAGGGTCACGCCAACAAGCATATCATAATTGGAGGTGATTTTAATGGATGGCATACTGCTTGGGGCTCCAATATTTCTAATAAAAGAGGTCGTAACGTACACGATATAATTATGTCAAATGATCTTATAGTCTTCAATGACGGTAAATTTCCAACTTTTGAGACAGTGACCCATGGGACAAGCCGTAGTTCCTTTATAGATTTGACAATGGCGTCAGCAAATATATCAAATAAAATAGATGGTTGGCAGGTAAATATGAATGCATGCCCCTCATCGGAACATAATGCTATAGACTTCCTTTTAAAACTTAATAATGACACGTTACATCGAAAAAAGAAATCTACGACTTACAGATACAACACTAAAAATGCTGATTGGTCCACATTTTGTAATCAGATAAAATTGGCAATGGAAAAAGAACAGTTAACAACTAAAAACATAGAACTTTTCGACGTACAGGACATAGATAATTATATTAAGGACATAACAAATATTATTCAAAAAGTCAGCAGCAAAGTATTTAAACATAGGGGAATAGCTAAAACATATATTCCATGGTGGAATTCTGAATTAGAAACACTTAAACTTGGCGTAATTAAAATGCATCACAGAATCCAAACACTGAAGCGTAGCAGGAAACCACTAGACCGTGTATTACTGGAAAGAAAACAATTAAAACAAGAATATTTGGATGCTATTAGGAAAGCATCCACAGAGAATTTTAAGGAATTTTGCAGCAAACAAGGCAAAGAAGACGTCTGGTCGTTAACAAATAGACTTTTAAAGAATTCTCCACAACCTGTGCTTCCATCTACAATTAGAGTAACTCCAACAAACTTCACCACAACATCTAAAGAAACGGCTCATGTTCTCCTAAACAAATTTTATCCTAATGACACAGAAGATGACACGGAACAACAAAAGCTACTTAGACAAAGTATGTATTGTGAACCAAACACCTCAGATGATCGTTTCTTTACAGAAGAAGAAGTGATTGACTGTCTCAAAACAATTAGTCCGAATAAAGCTCCAGGAACCGACCACCTAACCGCGGATATTTGCTTAGCATTCACAACAATATATAAAACAGCCATAAATAAACTACTAAACCGATGTTTTGAAATATCCTACTTTCCAAAGCAATGGAAAATTGCACATGCCATCATACTTCCCAAATTTAATAAATCAGACTACTCCGATCCTTCCTCTTATCGCCCTATTGGTCTTATAAATGTATTCGGCAAACTTTTTGAGAAATTGTTAAGTAAAAGACTGACATATCACATGAGCGTAAACAATAAAACAAACCCAAAACAGTTTGGATTTAAAGAACAGTCATCTACGTGCCACGCACTCAAAAACGCAGTCGATATTATTAACACATCAAAAAGTAAAAAGGAACTGGTAATTGCTGTTTCATTAGATATACAAGCGGCGTTTGATAATGCTTGGTGGCCTATTCTATTTAAACGATTAAAACAAATTAAATGTCCAAGAAATATATATAACTTAATACTTAATTATATTAAAGATCGCTTAGTTACTCTAAATTACGCCGACGTCACTGTAAATAAAACTATGACCAGAGGATGCGTTCAGGGTTCGGTCTGTGGGCCCCTATTCTGGAACCTTATTCTTGACGACCTCTTCGACACTCCACTACCCGAAGGATGTTATTTACAAGCCTTTGCAGACGATGTCTTGCTAATCGTCGCACACAAAAATGTTAGTGAACTTCAAATTGCCGCAAACTCAGCCCTTGAGTCGATCTCTGAATGGGGTAAAGAGGCTAAGCTTAGATTTGGTCCAAACAAAACCCAATTAATAACGTTCACCGGCAAAGCTAAAATGGCTAAGATTGTAATGTCTGGCACAACTTTGGAGTTTTGCAAAGAAATCAAGCTCTTAGGAGTTATCATTGACAGAAACCTGAAATTTATTGAACATACAAAATATATAACAAACAAAGCTCTTAATATATTTAAAAAACTTTGTGTATATATAAGGCCAACATGGGGTATAAACTCCGAAAATATAAGAATAATATATATGCAGGTAATAGAACCTATAATCACGTACGCAGCAGGTATTTGGGGCGGTGCTACCAAATTCAAAATAGTAAAGGACAAACTAATATCACTGCAGCGTGGTTTTGCCATCAAGATAATCAGAGCTTTCAAAACAGTTTCCGCCTCTGCTGCAATCTCGTTAGCCCTACTCACCCCCCTTCACTTAAAAGTAATAGAAGTCGCCAACATAGAAACTTCTAAATTAACTGGAAAAACAGAGTTGTTACCCGATGATATTGTAATAGAGAAACCACTGACACCATCACAACTTCTTCATCCAGCTGACAGGAAAACCATTGAAATTAACATGGCAACCACACAGGAAGACATTGATAAAAATTACAATAATCATACAACGAAGATATTCACAGATGGGAGCAAGCATAATGATGGTAGCACAGGTGCAGCATTTGTAGTACAAATTAATGATAAAATAAAAATACGCAAGAAGTACAAACTACATCCAAGCTGTACTGTATTCCAAGCGGAGCTTTTGGCTATAGAAAGAGCATGTAAATGGGCTATTCAAACAGGTGTCAATAACCTCTCAATACTTACGGATTCACTTTCAGGCTTAAAGGAAATACAAAACAAAGACAGTACAAATCCATTTGTAGTGTCCATACACAAATGTATACATCAAATATGTAACGCAGGAACAGGAACAATTAACTTTATTTGGGTAAAAGCACACAAAGGTTTGACCGGTAATGAAGAAGCGGACTCAACAGCCAAACAAGCTGCTAGTTCGCACAGTAAATATGAATACGACAACACTCCTTTAAGCTACTTGAAACACAACTTCAAACAAATAACTTTAACTAATGCCGATTCATACTACAAAGACTCTGTTCAAGGGCAATATACAAAAAGTATATGTCCTGATATTGAATCCATACAAAATCTGTGGGAAGCCTTTAAACCCTCTTTTGAATTTACGCAAATTTTGACCGGTCACGGATTCAATCTATCGTACCTGTACAGATTTAAAATTAAATCAACTAATAAATGCCCATGCAACGACAACTCTGAACAAACATTCAAGCACTTAATCGAAGAATGTCCAAGATACTCAAATACCAGGAATGATCACATAATTACCTGTAACAACCTAAATATTACCGACGCATTTAACATAAAGAAAATAATAAGCAAGGAATCTTCAGTCACTTCATACACCAAACATATTAAAAATATTGTAAGAACACTTAAGGACTTCAACAGACACATAACATAGATGCAAAGAAAATAAGTAAAGTCTGATTTCTGTAACCATAATTCTGATTCATGTAACTCAATTTATCCTACTTCTAAGTTGTCTTTTCTTTGTATAAAAATGTACTAAAAACTATAAATTATAACCAATTGTAAATTATAATTCTTTAAAAAATGTAACGTTTGTGTCGCCCGTATCCAATAGCGGGGGCAAATCAATTGTGTCAAGAAGGACAATTCCGTTCAAATAAAACCCCAGTCATGGAGGCGTATCCAAGACTGGAAAAAAAAAAAACCTAACCTAACCTAACCTAACCTAACCTAACCTAACCTAACCTAACCTAACCCAACCTAACCCAACCCAACCCAACCTAACCCAACCTAACCCAACCCAACCCAACCCAACCATAACCTAACCTAACCCAACCCAACCCAACCCAACCTAACCCAACCCAACCCAACCTAACCCAACCTAACCCAACCTAACCCAACCTAACCCAACCTAACCCAACCTAACCTAACCTAACCTAACCTAACCTAACCTAACCTAACCTAACCTAACCTAACCTAACCTAACCTAACCTAACCTAACCTAACCTAACCTAACCTAACCTAACCTAACCTACATTTGTCAGAAATTGTAAAATCAAGGGAGATCAAGTTGCCGCTGTCTCTTTGGATATTCAGGCGGCATTTGACAATGCCTGGTGGCCCGCTATTTTGCGTAGACTCCACATAATTAATTGCCCCAAGAATATATACAAACTAATAACAAACTACCTCAGCGAGCGAACAGTTAGCATAAATTTCTCAAGCAGCAGTGCCAACAAAGCCATGAGTAGAGGATGCATCCAAGGTTCAGTTTGCGGACCGACATTTTGGAACCTGATCTTGGATGAATTACTTGAAAAGGACTTGCCCGAAGGATGTCATATTCAAGCCTTTGCTGATGACGTTACGCTCATTGCTCACGACAAAGACCCCTTAAAGTTACAGGAAATAATTAATAAGGCACTCCATATAATCACCATTTGGGGAGAGTCAGTCAAATTAAAATTTGGGCCTCAGAAAACCCAAGCAATTGCCTTCACAGGTAAAGCTGAGAAAATAAAAATATCAGTATCTGGCACTCCCATCAAATTGGAAAATTATATAAAAATTCTAGGCATCATTATAGATAAAAAACTAAAATTCATTCAACATGTTCATCATATATTGGTCAAAACAAGAAGTATATATAACAAATTATTAAAATATATCCGACCTACTTGGGGAATACAATCCGAAAATATTGAGATTATATATAAAAATGTTATTGAACCAATTATCTGTTACGCGCCCAGCATATGGCACTCGGCATTAAAATATAAACATGTAAGAGACAAGCTGCTATCCCTGCAACGTGGTTTTGCTATAAAAATAATTAAAGGTTTTAGAACCGTAAATACCATCAATGCAATAGCACTGGCAAGGCTGACTCCTATACACATTAAAATTAATGAACTGGCAATCATCGAAACAACGAAACTAACAGGCACAAGCAAATATCTTCCAACAGACATTAGTTTAGACACACCATCGAAACCAGAAGAACGATTACATCCATCTCGTCGCAAAATTATCCATTACCAAGAAGCCAATAACGCTCAAGAAGTCAATCAGATTCTCCTCGAAAACACTCATCACATCTACACAGATGGTAGTAGACACGACCAAAAGGTTGGGGGAGCTTTTGTTGTATATTGCCCCAATGGTAAAATTATAACTAGAAAACTAAAACTCCATAGTTCTTGCTCGGTGTTTCAAGCTGAGTTGAAAGCCATAGAACAAGCTTGTGTGTGGCTTGCAGATAAACACATTCCGAATGCAGCTATTCTGACTGACAGCAAATCTGGACTACAAGAAATCGGTAACCCCAATAGTACAAACCAAATAGTTACCAACATCCACAGAATGCTAGACAACCACAGCTTATCAGTTAATTTCATTTGGGTCAAAGCCCACACAGGTATAGCTGGTAACGAAGCTGCTGACCTGGCAGCCAAAGCTGCAGCCACAAGCCATAACGTCCCTATTCTCATAAAATTTCCAATTAGCTTCGTAAGAAAACTTGCTCAACAAGATAGTAAAGTAGCTTCCGAACAATTTTACCAAGATAACATGAAAGGTGAAATAACCAGAAAATGGCTCCCTACACTTACACACATACAAGAATTATACCAAGTCACCAAGCACTCATTCACACTAACACAAATTCTTACAGGTCACGGCTACCACAAAGAGTACCTTCATAGATTTAAAATAGTGGAAAATAACACATGCCCTTGCGACGACACTGCAGTACAGTCAATTTTCCATTTACTTAATGATTGTCCAAAATTCCAAGCTACACGTCTAACCCATACGATAACTTGCGCCAATTTTAAAGTACAACCCTTCTCCATTGAAGAAATTATTAAAAAGGAAAGCACATTTGAAACGTTTCTACACCATATTAATAGTATAATAAAAAGTCTCAAGAAATTTAACGGAACAGAATAATTTTGAACTCAAAACATGTAAAATAAATATTTATAAAACATCTCCAAGAATTCCCACAGCGCACAAATGTTCTTTATCAAATATCATAACGGCAAATGAAAAACATTGCCAACTCCCACAAAAGTGATGATATTTGTGGGAAAAAAAAAAAAAACCTAACCTAACCTAACCTAACCTAACCTAACCTAACCACAAATAAGGGTTGCATACAAGGGTCTATTTGTGGACCCCTAATGTGGAATATCCTGCTGGACTCCCTGCTTCAAGAAGCAGAGACTTGGAATGTACATGTCCAAGCTTATGCTGACGATATTATATTAATAGGAACCGGGAAGACAACATCAATTATAGAAAATAAAGTCAATACAGCGCTAAATAGAATATCTATGTGGGGACTTTCCAGAAAAAATGAGCTTTGCGGCACATAAAACGCAAGCTATTTTAATTTCAAAGAAATATAAATATGAGATGCCTAACTTAAAACTCAATGACACCAAGATTGTATTTAGCGAAAACCTGAAAATTCTCGGTCTAAATATTGACCAAAACTTAAACTTCGTAAAACATGTAGAAGATACCACAAAAAAAAGCAATTAAACTCTACAAAAAAGTTTCAAAAACAGCCAGAGCACAATGGGGACTCAACTCTGAAATTCTGAGGATAATATACATCACTGTAATAGAACCTACAATGTTATATGCCGCAGCATGTTGGGGAAATAACGCATCGAGAATACAGATACGCAAACGACTTGATGCTATAACGAGAATATTCTGTATCCTGATCTGTAAAGCTCACCGAACATGTTCGCTAACTTCCTGCGCCGCATTAGCAAGAATTATCCCATTAGACTTAAGAGCTCAAGAACAACTAGAGATATATGAAATAAAAAGAGGAAAGTCCATTGACCAACTACCAGGGAGAAAGCTTGCCATACCAGTAAGTCCCTTTAGCCTCCCACATCCGGCACTCCGTGTCAAAGAGACATACAATTGCATTAGCACAGAAAAAGAAGTGGATACAATAGAAAACAACTGGCCCGCTATCTATACTGATGGCAGTAAAATCTCAGGCAAGGTAGGGGCTGCTGTAAGCTGCTGGGAAGACGGCAAAGAAACCCATAAGGTTAAAATCAAATTAGGTAATCACTGCAGTGTTTACCAGGCGGAACTAGTAGCAATCTTGAAGGCACTCAGTATCATGAGATGCAAACGTGGATTTAAGAAGTCAAATATATTGAGCGACTCTTTGTCAGCACTGGAAAGCCTGTCAAATCCAAGCACTCTTAATCCTCTGGGAGCTGAAATCCTAGAAAATATACAAGAAATCCGAAATAATCAAGGCGATGTGAAGCTTTTCTGGATTAAAGCTCATTGTGGAATTCCAGGGAATGAAAGAGCCGATGAATTAGCGAAATTAGCAGCAGAGACTTCTAAGCAAGCACCAACCTACGACTGTTTCCCTCTGTCCTTTGCAAAGCGTCAAATCAGGGACAACTCAATAATAAGGTGGCAAGAAAGGTATAGCACATCCAACACAGGAGCTACAACGAGAAGATTCTTCCCTTGTATAAAAGAAACCTATAAAACCATGTCTAAAATAAAAATAAATAATTTGGTGTCACAAATATTGACAGGCCATGGAGGCTTTAAATCATACCTGTATAGATTTAAACTGGCACAGACCTCCTACTGTAGCTGCGATAGTCAAACACCGCAAACAATAGAGCATATCCTTTTGGACTGTCCGGAATTCGCTTATGAGAGACTATCATGCGATCAAAGTGTGGGCTTTGTGCTAAAAGAGGAAACCATATGTAAAGCTATTAACGGCAATGACAGTCGATTTCATTTTCTAAAATTCGCAATACAAATCACTAAAGTGATTCTCAGAGAAAATAAATCAAAATATATGTAAAGGATAATAACATAGTAAAATGCAATAGTTAAGTTTACATCCATAATGAAATTGAATACACAGTGTAATTTTAGTTCAAATTGACAGTAAATTAAAAAACAAATAGGAAGGATAAACCTTAAAGAAGTATAATTGTATATAAAGGTAGTATTAGTTAGTTAAGCAATCTAATAAAAACAGTTTCAAATAGATAATATTGCGGAATACAAAATCATTAGTTGTATAAGGACAAATATGTATCGTAGTAATTTTAATTGAAAAATGTATACATAAAAAAAAAAATCATGTACAAAAACAGAACAAAAAAAAAGTTTTTAAAGGTGCTGTAAAAGAAAAAACAGCAGATGAATTGAGGAAAAAAAAAAAAAAAAAAAAAAAAAAAAAAAAAAAAACCTAACCTAACCTAACCTAACCTAACCTAACCTAACCTAACCTAACCTAACCTAACCTCAACCTAACCTAATCTAACCTAACCTAACCCAGTTGCGCTCCAAACGCCGTCTCGTTCGCAGCATTTTTAACCGCTCCGTACATTAAAAATCAGAGTTGTGGGTCGAAGTGACCAAATTATAAAGTATTATATATCGAAAGATTCGTCTCACCGAGGCGAATACAGTGATATGTGGAAAAAGTGAGATAAGTGCGGAAAAACAGGAAAAATCAGAGAAAAACGATATTTTCCTAACCTAAAAAACAAAAAAGTGAAACGCTGCAAAAACCAAATCGATAACATAGTGTTCTTAAAGTGTCAAAAGTTGCGCCTTAACTAGCTTCACAGTTCTGCGTAAGCAGCAGATTTTTCCGAAGCTCGTGCATGGAAATATAGACTGAAAAACAAAACCACGTGGACACGTGTTTCTTGATCTGATGTACTGCGGCTGATTTTGACGACGCCATCGTGGAGAAGACAATCAAACAAAACGTTTGACACCCTTTTTACAAAAATCGGTCAAGAAATGAAGAAGATATTACAACAAGAATAAACAGTTTTTCAGTAAAAAATTTTTTCTAAGTGAATATCTCTGGAATTTCAGCGACAAGCTGTATGTTTTTTGTGCCCATCCAGAGAAGCAACCAAAGTCCTAAAGAAGGACATCAAAAATAAATTTTTTTTGGAGTGCAAATATAATAGTAAGGAATTTTATAATAATTAAATGTAACCACGTGGGGTCCTGAAAGTGCTCCTGAAAAATCTGAAAAAATTCTCAAAGGTAGTGCTCACTAAATTTAATAAGCCCAAATTTTTTCAAAATTTTTCAATTTATATTTCTTGAGTTACACGCTATTTGCGGTTTTTTGGTTTTTATAAATAGTTTTTCAAAATTTAATTACTTAAAAAAATTTTCAAAATAAAAATTTACTAAATTCATTACATAAATCCCTATTTTATAAGCTATACAAAAATATTTTTTGCAAAATTTTTGCAGTAGCACTTTCGGAGATACCGAATTAATTGTAAAAGCTAGGAGGTCCTGAAAACTGCACCGTAACTGTGTTTTCAGTTTACAGGAAAACGGAGCCTCCTAGCTCAATTTTGACAATTTTTTCGGGGTCCCCCCCCCGTCACCCCCCCCCACACTATCCAGCTAACGGATAGTCTTCGGACCCCACCGGATCATTTGGACATAGTTTCAACCCCCTACCCCTAAGTTGACCTCTGGACTTGGAGACCGTGGACTCAAACTGTCTCTGGGGGTTGAAAAACTTCTAACACCTAAAACACAAAAACCGGTGGGTCTAGTCGAACGGGGTTTTTTTGTATAAATATATAGATTAGTAGAACCTTAAAATTATATGTACATAAACTCTACGTAGAGCCATAAAATTTTTATATATATTTTTTATTTTTTTTATTTTTTATTTTTTATATCCTATTTTCTATAACTTTATAAAGATTCGTTTTATGTTACATATAATTTAACTCTACAATCTCTCTTAGTGTAAATAATTAGAAACTAGGTGTGACCAGTTGTAGTTTAAATTAATTGCTATTTTTAAGTTAGAGTATAGAGACAATTGATAGAGCCGGGCTCTTGATAGAGTCGGACTCTTTATAGAGCCGGACTCTTGACAGAGCTGAATTTTGATAGAGCCCGACTCTTGATAGAGCCGGACTCTTGGTGGAGCCGGACTCTTGAAAGAGCCGGAATTTTTTGTAGAGCCGGACTCTTGATAGGAGGAGTCAAGAAATTGTTTCAATAATTTTATATTACCTCTATTTTATTGTTCTACATAGAGTCACACGGATAGTCTGGTAGAGTTGGACTCTACCCTATTTTAATTTTGACTAGTTTTATTTTATAGTGACACAGCAACCCCCCTTTACAGGGTACAAAGACCGGTCTAACAAAAACATACAACCTTTACACACAGACCCCCTTTTACAAGGTTTTACAAAGAGACAACGTTCCCTGATTACACAACCTACACAAACACCGTACTCATACACACACACACACAAACCATGTATCGCACACCCACTACCTCTGGCGCTGCCAAAAAGCCCACCACCCCCAGCCCTGCCACCACAACAGCAGCAGTACAGGATGCTGCTAGAACTTTTATCAAGAGACCGGAAGCTAAAAGAAGATCGCTCGACAATATGGATATTTATAAAAGACAAAAAAGACAACTACGCTGCATTGTCGAGCGATCAGCTCCTCCAGGAGATGATGAAAACCTTTGAGGATATACCCTCAAAGGTACAGGAGTACCCTCAGATGAGGAAGGACATCAAACATTTCCTGGAGGTGCAGTCCGACAAGGGCATAAGAACAATATTCGAGCTTAGCAGAAGAATACAAAGTCTTGAAGCAGAGGCCTTAAAAATAAGATCACCGGAAAAAACCTTGTCGTCCAAAGGGCTTGAAAACATCATGGAGAAACTGGGGGAGGTGGAGGACTCATTGTTAGGGCGTATGAAAGAAATGGAGGAAAGTCTCAAAGCAGACATTGAGGGACTTTCAAACGCAAACGACGACCGAGGCTCTGACATGATCGACAAGATCATCGATAGGATTGATGAAACCAGGGCTGCCATAGACGAAACTACCGAAAAGGTCGAGAGTCGAACGCATGCTCT